CGCAGTTATATAACCCTGCCCTCTCCGTGAGACTCCAGTTTTTCGTTAGTAAGGAGTGATCAATACACAGAGGGAAAGGGCATGTGTCCTGTACTCTAAGCTAAAGACGATACAGGTAATTCGAAATTCCTATTATCCTATCTTTACAGTACATGCAATAAACTGATAGGTAGGCAAAAACACAGGCAGAACAAAGAATAGAGGCCCAGCTGCCAGGTAGACTCTGACAACCCTGACCACATCCAGGAAGTGTAGGGCGATTTTCCTTTTCATGTTTTGGGACAGTACAATGAGAAGGAACAGAATTATGCAGATCGCTGAGAGGCTGAGCCAGGTGCTGGTTCAGGCTCCTGGGTGGATCCTGACCATATGGGTGGGGTCTTTTCAGAGCCTGCACCGGCTCTGTAACATCAGCCGACAGCGGGCTTCAACCTGCTGTCAGCTGAAAAAGTCACAGAAGGGCAGAATGAACTGCACTCCTGTGATCCCCAGAAGTATAGCCAAAAGAGCACTCTTTTTGTAATCATGATGGACTTGCTTCTCCTTTCACTATCTCTAGGTTACGTATACAGACCATTATTCAGGCTGTCTTAAGGGCCAGGGTTCCCCCCTATCCACTTAAGACTCACTCCACTAGAGCGCTGAATGCCTCCCATGCCTTTTGGCATCGGGCCTCTGTTTCCCAGATCTGCAAAGCTCCCACCTGGTCTTCTGTTAACACATTCTGTAAGTTCTACCAGCTAGATGTTTCTGCTTCATCTGATGCCAACTTTGGGCATAAGGTCCTTCAGGCAGCTCTGTAAGAGCTATAAGCAGTCCCCAGTTTTGCGGTTTTCGTTGAACCTGTTAGTGGCTGTTTTGTGCTGTTGCTCACCCCTCAGTTGGACTGCTCTGGATGTGCAGAAGGTCAAAGACTTCCTGTATCCCTCAATGGATGAGAAAATAGTTTTTTTTTCTGCTCACCATCTCTTCCTGGTGAGCTGTGATTGGCCCACAGCTCTTACATGGGGTCAATCACAGCACCCTGTACAATGTGATCAGCTTTTAGCCATTCACAGATCACTATTATTTTGACCGCTCATGGACTTAATCCATTCATGACCGTTTAAAGCAAGCTTTGCATGAGCAATCATTTTTATTGCTACTGCACAGCAAAGTGTAAAAAAAAAAAAACCCAATCACCCCCCCCCCCCCCCCCCAAGAGTAGTACAATGTTACTGTGGTAACATTGAAATTTAGTTTTTTTAATACTTTTATCATAGCGGTACAAACTACTTGCTGACCACCTGCCCGCAATGTGTGGGCGAGCGCCGGCTCTGGCAAAAGCAGCACACCTTTACGTTGCTTTCTCTTTTAGGGTGTGAACGCACCTGTGCCCCTCGCTGCCCCCGTTGGTTCAGGGGGAGAGAGAGAGAACACTGCACTGTGAGTAAAATCGTCCATACACTATAGGTTACTGATCACCGCCATTGCTAGTAGAGTGTTTGTACGGATCAATATATTGATCACAAACAGAACTATACTAGTGATTCCTTAGCATACTGTCCCCAAAAACACAGTGTTAACAGCATCAGCCCCATTCACTGCCAGCACTAGCGTTTAGCTCCTCCACTGTTTTTCATGGTAGATTTGTATCAAATGATTGTGGTCCAAAGCAATTTATGCACATAATAGATGGCCGCCCACCCAAATTCAGCTCTTGCCAGACAATTCGCATGGGCCTAACCCTTAACATGGGCATTACAAAAAAAAAAAAAAAAATGAATTGTGGTCACATTGGTCAACAGACCCGATTCTTCATATGCCCAAGTTCTATGCTGTTACATATATGTCCAACAAGGACCAGTGACATACTGGTACAGTGGAAATACTGGTACAGTGCAGTGGTTATAACAGGATGATACCTGCAGCTACAGGCCATCTGGGTATCATTTTTTTTCACCTGGCGGCTGGCTTTCATGTAAAAGCAATCCTAGCGGCTTAGTAGCTGCGGGATCGTTTTAACAAGCAGCAGGAAGGGACATTCCCACCCCCCACTTCCCCTCCAGCCAACTTTCTCGGTTTTCTTGGGCTCTCCCTTCCCACAGGGGAATCTAAGTATGCAGCCGGCAGTTACACTTGCTGACCATAGAGCTGATTGGAGACCAGAATGGCTCCATTCATCTCTATGGTCTAAGAGACCGGAAGCTAGAAGCATTTCATCATTTCCGTTTCGCCGGATATTAACAGTGACATTTTTAAATTGGAAAAGCAACCGTCGTTCCCGTGTTAGTATACAAACAGATTGCACCATGCATGTGAGGTATCTCCGTGAATGTGATATTGAGGGCAGTCATTCTAGCACTAGACCATGGTTCCCACTGACATCATTGATCTTTTTAGCTATCTGTAAGGGAGTATTTCTTCCCAATGACCACAAGTGTAAGGAGCATTCTTCCCAATGACCATCTTACTAATGTATCCGTACTAGATATAGTAATTTTTAGTAGGGGTTCCTTGAGACTGGAAAGTTATTTCAAGGGTTCCTTTGTGTTGAAAAGGTTGAGAGATTGCACTAGATCTTGTGTGTAAATATAAAGTGGTGACCTGTAAATGCTTTTAAATTGTCACCTATCGATATTAAAAATGTACGTACTTTGTCGTTGTTGTACGGGCATGCGCAAATTGTAAAGTATGTCCTGTTTGGTATCCATTTACTCGGTGTAACATCATCTTTTATATTTTTGTAAATATGAATAAATCAAAATCAAAATAAAAAATGTATTTATTTATTCAATAAATTTGTGTTAATATTTATATTTAATAAATTTCATAATTTTGTAAATACTTACTTCCTGGTCCTTTCAGTAAATGCTTTTTTGGTGGAAATCTTGTTCACAAACCCTTGTCTATAGTAGAAGCAACCCCCCCCCCCCCCAAAATGACCCCTTTTTGGAAAGTGGACACTCGTTTGTTGCCACAAATTTTTGTAAAATGGAGAAAACAAATTTTATTTTTTTTTTTTTCTTTTTAAAAAAAAATAAAAATCTTCCATAGCCTCAACATGCCTCTCAGCAAATTCCTCGGGGTGTCTACTTTCCAAACAGGGGTTATTTGGGGGGTTTTTGTACTGCCCTGGCATTTTAGCACCTCAAATGTGATATGCAGTCAGAGTAAAAAGTAAAAGCTGGCTAAATTCCAGTATATATACACTATAGTTTGTAGACGCTATAACTTTCACACAAACCAATAAATATACACGTATTGGGGATTTTTTTTTTTTTTTTTTTTTTACCAAAGACATGTAACAGAATACATTTTAGCCTAAAGTTATGACTACGTTTGAGTTTATTGGATATTTTTTATAGCCAAAGTAAAAATTTGTTTGTTTTTTTTTTGGTTTATGTTTTAAATTTGTGGTCATTTTTTGTTACAAAAAAAATGAAAAACACCCAGTGGTGATCAAATACCACCAAAAGAAATCTCTATTTGTGTGAAAAAAAGGACATACATTTTGATTGGGTACAGCGTTGCATGACTGCGCAATTACCAGTTGAACCAGTGCAGTGCTGAATAGCAAAAAATGGCCTGGTGAGGAAATGGGGTAAATATTCAGGTGGGTAATCACTGCTATTTTTGAGTCATGGATTATATTTAGATTATTCCTAATTTATTGCCATTTTGCACATATTTAATAGTGCAACACATCATTTGATTTGTTCTCTGGAGAGGATATCCTCTTTGGTGTTTGCTGCTTTTTGTAGTTTAATTTTCTTTTTACACAATTTTAATTTACATTTTTGATTTATAACCTGTTATTTATGCATCCTGTATTAACTACTTCCCAACCATGCTATAGCTGAAGGACGACTACAGCACAGCTGTCTAGTTCTGGGAGGACGTCCATGGACGTCCTCCCAGAACACGCCCCCTGCGCGCCCCCCCAGTGATTGCTGTGTCCTACGGACACAGCTGATCACGCGATACGGTAAAAGGCCAATCACAGTGCCCTTTTACCACGTGATCAGCTGTGTCCAATGACACAGGAGATCACCTGGTAAATACAATTGCCAGTTATTGGCTGCACTTTCCGCACGCTGTCACAGTGTGAGGAAAGTACTGCTGAGAACCGGCAACTGTCAGTGAAGGGATCAGCACTGATGATCAGTGCCCAGCAGCGCCGCCCACCTGTGCAGCCAATCAGTGCCACCCATCAGTGCAGCCCATCAGTGCCTCCTCTCAGTGCAGCCTATCCATACCACCTCATCAGTGCCCGCCTATCAGTGCAGCCTCATCAACGCACATCAGTGAAGGAGAAAAATTACCTGTTTGCAAAGTGCTATAATAGAAACAAAGAAAAACTTTTTTTTTTCAAAATGTTTGCTTTTTTTTGTTTATAGCACAAAAAAGGAAACACTCAGCAGCGAGTAAATACCACCAAAAGACAGCACTATTTGTGTGAAAAAGATTTATAAAAATTTCATATGGGTACAGTGTTGCATGACCGTACAATTGTCATTCAAAGTGCGACAGCACTGAAAATTGGCCTGGGCAGGAGGGGGGTATAAGTGCCCCTGTAGGCAAGTGGTTAAGGATCTTTATACCTTTTAGGTGTCAACTCTAATAACTAGAGGAGTGGCCTCTAGTTCATTTGGGATGCTCACAGGTAAATGGGCACCATTTGTTATGCATTACTTGTGTTCTTTCTATAAAACAACAAGCTGTGAAAGCATCATTCCTTTAGATTTGAAGCCAATAAAAATGAAGGGTTGCTCGGCAAAGAAATGCAGATTCTTATTTTCTTGATTATATAAATTAAGAGATCAATCAATTTGTGTATTCCTGCATGCCTGTGGCTGGTTTCACAGTGTAAGCATGTTACCATACAAATGGTTCACTTTCTGAAAGGCATGGCTTACTGCCTTGCAATCGCCAGATTCCAGTGTTCAGCTTCTGACGACTGCACTATGAAATATTGAATGTAGCTGATGTTTTGGCAAAAACTCTTTCAGCATTAGAATTCATTGATCCAGAAACAGCATACTTACTGTGTATTTGTCCCATTTCTTCTCGGGGTCGTATGGCTCCCACCGGCTAGCCGGAAATATATGTTTGTTTTTCTCGTACCAGCTCCGCAGAACCACCTTTCCAGCGTGAGACTGAAAAACACAGCAGATTCAACAACTGCGCAGGGTCAAGTAACAATAATAAGAAAGAGTGGAGGTCAGGTCTACATCATGGGTTTGTATGTTCACATTATGAACCTGTCTCCTTACTTCTGTCCCAGTACCAGGATATAATGTGTAACCCAGATATCAATATAAACTGGACAGATTATCTAACCCACAGGTGTCAAACTGGCGGCCTTCCAGCTGTTGCCAAACTACAAGTCCCATGAGGTATTGCAAGATTGACAGTTACAAGCATGACTCCCAAAACAAGAAGGCATGATGGGACTTGTAGTTTCGCAACAGCTGGAGGGCCCCGCCAGTTTGACACCCTTGATCTAACCTTCCTCACTGTATCCAATGCTAAAGAAAAGGTTGTTCTACTTCATCTTTACCTCATCTTTTTCCACAGTGGCATCACTCAGCAGACGGACATCTTCATGTACATCAAAATTAAACAAAGGACCTGTGAAAGGAGGAGAGATTTTACTTTCTCTATAGGAGCTTCGATGAGGCTGGAGCAAAAAGGCATGTACTGTATGTGGGACCCACTGTCACCAGTCAGATATTTCAATCCAGCATGTAATGCCCACAATGTAATGCCCACAAGAAACCTGTCATTTTAGGCAGCAGGTATAGTAGAATGAGATCTATGTATGCTTTCCTCAGTGAGTTTCTGTTATATCCACAGGGAGAAAGGAGCTGTAGAAAGTAAGCAAGCCTAGTTTCCCGTTCCCATCCAAAAGATGCAGATCTGCCCTGTTTCAACATTCTACATAAAGCCCACTTTATCCTCACAGTTTAGGATATAAAATGAGATTCATACTGGATTGATGACAGTGCTAAAAATAGAGAAAAAAAGGAACCCTTTCCAGGTAAAAACGGTGTAATTTTGCTGAACATTAAAAAAATTATTTCTCTTTTAAAACTCACTTTTTCCTGATGATTAGCTCCATTTATATCCCACATGGCTGTCTACGCAATAAATAAGAGAATAAATTCTGTATCACCCATAAGAGGATGCCATAGTTGACCTTTGGATCTGACAATGCTGGTTTCCTAGCTATCATGCTTTTTCACATTCACTAGCAGTTTGATTATTTGTTGACTTTTTTGCTGATTGAAAGATTTCTTCTCTCCTCCTGTTGGGGCGACAATGTAATCACTGAGTCAGGAAGTGAAGAAGCCTCCACTGACTTCCTGTTAGGCTACTCTCACACTAATCCGTAGCAAAAACGCATATGCGTTTTTGCTGCGTTTGCGGTGCGTTGTTTACAGGATATATGACTCAAAAACCGCACACCAAAAATGCAACGTGGTGGGTGCTTTTTTTTTTTTATCCCTTTCCATTTCAGTAGGGAGGTGCGTTTTGGGCGTTTTTTTTTTTTTTTTTTTTTTTTTACTGCATCAAAAATGAAGCAAGCAGGTTTTAAAAAAAAATGCACAGGACCTGCAACGGATCCGTGCGAAGAGTTCCATAAGAATACATGGTCTCACGTTTTTCTTCCACTTTTCTTTTTTGCATTAAAAAAGAATCAGCATGAAAGCAGTCTTACTGTGAAAACTGCTATTAAGAAAAAGTGAAAGGACACCCCCCCCAACCAACAGGGAGACAGGCAAAAAAGGGGGAGCATCTACCATTAATCCTACCTTTACATGAGCAGCCAAAAGTTTGAAATACAAGCATGGATAACGAAATGAAGACAACATACACTGCATACCGATGTAGATTTTGCTTTGCGATGATCTCTTTTTTTCTTGTTTTTATGTGAGAATGCAGATAAATAACCATAACATTTGGCCAGTAAAAACAATACAAAATTTAAAGCATACAGTTTGTTACAGTGCTTTGAAAAAAGTATTCATACCCCTTGAAATTTTCCACATTTTGCCATCTTACAACCAAAAACGTAAATGTACTTTACTGGGATTTTATGTGATAGGCCAACACAAAGTGACACATAATTGTGAAGTGGAAGGAAAATGATAAATGGTTTGACATTTTTTTTTACAAATAAATCTGTGAAAAGTGTGGCGTGCATTTGTATTCAGCCCTCCTGAGTCAATACTTTGTAGAACACCTTTCGCTGCAAGTCTTTTTGGGGATATCTCTACCAGCTTTGCACATCTAGAGAGTGACATTTTTGCCCATTCTTCTTTGCAAAATAGCTCAAGTTCTGTCAGATTGGATGTAGAGTGTCTGTGAACAGCAATTTTCAACTCTTGCCACAGATTCTCAGTTGGATTTAGGTCTGGACTTTGACTGGGCCATTCTAACGCATGAATTTGCTTTGATCTAAACCATTCCATTGTATCTCTGGCTGTATGTTTAGGGTCGAAGGTGAACCTCCACCCCAGTCTAAAGTCTTTTACTGACTCTAACAGGTTTTCTTCTAACATTGCCCTGTATGTGGCTTCATCCATCTTCCCATCAACTCTGATCAGCTTCTCTGTCCCTGCTGAAGAAAAGTATCCCCACAGTAAGATGCTGCCACCACCATGTTTCACGGTGGGGATGGTGTGTTCAGGGTGATGTGCAGTGTTAGTTTTCCGCCACACATAGCGTTTTGCTTTTAGGCAAAAAATTTAAATTTTGGTCTTGTCTGTCCAGAGCACTTTCTGCCACGTTTGCTGTGTCCCCCACATGGATTCTCACAAACTGCAAACGGGACATTTTATGGCTTTCTTTCAACAATGGCTTTCTTCTTGCCACTCTTTCATAAAGGCCAGATTTGTGGAGTGCACGACTAATAGCTGTCCTGTGGACAGATTCTCCCACCTGAGCTGTGGATCTCTGCAGCTCCTCCAGAGTTACCATGGGCCTCTTAGCTGCTTCTCTGATTAAGGCTCTCCTTGCCCAGCCTGTCAGTTTAGGTGGACAGCCATCTCTTGGTAGGTTTGCAGTTGTGCCAAACTCGCAAAACTTTTTTTCCCCTCATTTTCAGATGATGGATTGAGCAGTGCTCTATAAGATGTTCAAAGCATGAGATTTTTTTTTTTTTATAATCTAACCTTATCCAAAACTTTATCCCTGACCTGTCTGGGGTGTTCCTTGGCCTTCATGATGCTGTTTGTTCACTAATATTCACTAACAAATCTCTGAGGGCTTCACAGAACAGCTGTGTTTATACGGAATTAAATTGCACACAGGTGGACTCTATTTACTAATTAGGTGACTTCTGAAGGCAATTGGTTCTACTAGATTTTAGTTAGGGGTATCAGAGTAAAGGGTGCTGAATACAAATGCACGCCAGACTTTTCAGATATTTTGTAAAAAAATTTGAAAACCATTTATCATTTTTCTTCCACATCACCATTATGTGCCACTTTGTCTTGGTCTATCACATAAAATCCCAATATAATACACTTATGTTTTTTGTTGTGACTTGACAAAATGTGGAAAATTTCAAGGGGTATGAATACTTTTCCAAGGCACTGAGTGCTGGGTCAAAGAATGGACATTGAGAAACAAAAAGATGCAACGCAGTTGGTTTAACAACTAGCAGATGATGGAAAGATGATCTCTTCTTAACCTGCCTGCTCACTGAACTACTGAGTAATTCTCCACCAGAGAATGTGTAAACAAATCTGCTTGCTGTAGTTCTTACACTTTACATGAATATAAGTTAGCATAGCTCTGAGAAAGGAGGTACACCTCCAAAACGTATCAGCTTGCTAGTCCAGCTCGGCTGCATAGACACACACGATTCCCCTTGCTGTGGCATTTTGTGGTTTTTTATGCGATTTTACTTTCCACTTCTGTGAGTATCCATTTGGCATCTATGTTTAGTGAACAATAAATCATTGGTAATGCACTAGGCGTTTGCACCCTCCTGTTTGTTCTTTTTGTAATTATGAAAATATTCTTAAGTGTCATTTACTCACCACTTTTGCCTCTGGCTTTTGTCACAATGAAATCATAAAAGCTATGATGCTGCAAGGTAGAAGAGATGTGAATTAAAATGAGTGAAAATAACCAGGGTAATTTATTAGACGCTCCATCATTCTAGAGGTTGCATTACAATGGAGTCCCCCACTAAATGCTATTTGTGGACTGTTTCCCTGTCGAAGTTCCCAGCTATGTGTCTGTGCCATTTAGGAGTGTTCTCACTACTCGTGCCTATTGGTCATAATAAAAAACGTAATCAAAAGCCAACCACCAGAGAGTTCAAGCCCTTCATGCTGGTCATGGTACATCTGCAGACCCAAGATCTCCACACAGAGATTTCACCAGAGGACAAACAAAGCATCAGGTGCCTTAATAGTCCAGCATACACCAAAAATTAAAGTGTTACTAAACCCAGGACCCTGCATTCACTATATCTCGTTGTACACAGAATATGGAAATTCAATTATTTTAGTAAATATAAAACTACTAAATACCTTTTTTCATCAGCAGTTAGAACAATCTTGTGACTTCTATAAGTGTCCAGCTGAGCACTGGTTAAAGCTTGTAGGAGGAATTTTCATTCTGCTGTAGGAGGATGCAGAACCCCTGACCTCTGTCTGGACAGTACTGACTGGCCCTGGGATCACATGCACTCTTCCGAAGAAAAAAAAAAAAAAAATCTCTAGCAGTACACACCAAACTGAGCATGTACAAAGTGACTCCACACGATAAGTCTTATCAGGAGATAAGAGGGGGGCAATGGAAGAAAGGGAGCAGCAATTTTACACAATGCAGAGGACTAACCCCCTAGGTTCCACAAGGAGTATAAACAAACGTGCTTTACTACATATGCAGACTGATATTACTGTTGTGGGTTTAGGAACACTTTAAGATATATGTGGACCAACCCTGCACTGCAGTAACACAACCACCTGTTAAGCAGGGTATACATGGACAGAAAATCTGCCTTTCATTGCGTGTGTATTGCTGGCTGTTCACCAGGAACTGGTCTAACAACTGACTTCTCATGTATGACATGATGAAAAATCAGAGCTTGCAGCCAATGGCTGCAAGCACTGATCTGCGTATTCTGGTATCTGCGTATCCGGCCCTCCCCCGGCCGGATACAATAACCCAGTGGGAGAGATCCCTGTGTCGACATAATTTGCTTATGTGGGGATCAGACAAGTTTTTTTTGTTCAGCTGGTTAAACAAAAAAAACTGGTCTGACTACAGTAAATCAGAATCTTTCTATGGATTACTACATTTTACAACTGTTCTGTGAAAACTTACATGCGGGATGATGAGATCTTCCTTGATGTACATGAGTTGCTCTACTCCAGCTGAACTGTAGGAATTTCACAGCATATTACACATCATAAAACAATGCAAGGTATTTATACATATTTTATTTATCATGTTAAAAGGAAGTAAAAACTTGAAAAAACAACTTTTTTTTTTTTTAAACCTGATAAATATGATATACTGTTTACAAATTAGCTCATATTTACCATTTTAGCCAATAGATAATCTGAGTTCAAAGTAACAGCCACTGGCTTAGTCAGTTATACATAGACAGCATGAAAGCATGGGCACAACAGTGGCCCATACCTATGTGTTGGTACAGTCACTTGCCTCCATTAGGGATGTGTATGACAGGGTGGCAAAGCAGGAACCCAACTAGCAGGATTACCAGGTATTCTCGTAATGAAAGAAGCGGGATTTAAAAAAATTCAAAAATAAAAATTAAATATGATTTTTGCAATTATTCTACTATGCTAAAGTTACATAAAATGTTTGTTGGTTTGGTTTAGATCTATTTCAATGCTTGTAAGTATTTTTACAACACCCAGCAATATGTACAGGGAGTTTCTTCAAGTGTATGTAAAGCCAAAACTTTTTTTTTTTTTTAATTTGATAGAATAGCTCTTGTATTTTCTTTCCCCTTTCACTTTCTGTCCCACAGCCACAGCTAGAAGAGGAAGTATCTACAAATTAAGAGGATATCCCTTTCTAGACTAATGTCACCATAACGGATTTCTCTGTTTGAAGATTTACCATCACCTGAGTGTTGGCTTTAAATGTTGGTTTGTGTTAGAGAAGACACTAGTAGCTTGTGATGAGGCAGAACTTGGTTTACTTGTGTGGCTTAAGTTGCAAACATACAAAACATTTCAGCAAACTGTAACAGCAGACATATTGGTTATGAAGAGAGAGAGAAAAGAAAAAGAACCAACAAGTTTTACAGATATGCACAACTGGTAACCTTAGTGTACAGTGCCATCTACTGGTAAAGTGATATTAACACACAATACTGTATATAGTACATGCTGTTGCATCCCCAACATTAAATACATTTTAAAGCCTAATTTAAGCAAAAAACAATCTGACATGCAAACAACAAACACACTGTCCTTAGTACTGATAAAGAAGGTTCAATCCACAGACCATATGAAAAGAGATCTGAAAACACTGATCTCATGTAGGAACATATTAAGACAAGGATGAGGGAAGCATGTTGTTCTCATTTGTCTTTTTCCCCAAAACTAGGACTGCTGTAGTCCACTTTTAAATTCCTCTCCCAACATCTCTCCACCGAGAATAAAGACTTATGCATTTACGGCACACACACAGCCCTAATTGTGGCATGTTCTCCTTCTCTCTGAATATAACTGCATTCTATTGTCACTTCATTCTCAAGTCTAAAAATAAATCTGCACGATGCTCCTTACCGGAGTTCACTAAAGTCTTTCCGCAGGATCTCCAGGGCTTTCTGCAGGAATTGCTGGATGGTATTTCCTTTCTTCATCTGAAGAGAAAAAGTAGCACTTTTATATAAATGGTGAAAGCTGTTGGAAGTAACTCGGCTCTTTCACCCCCTGTATGACCATCAGAGATTAGTAAAGGTAGACTGGTCAATACTAAACCAAAAGGTTAAAACAGTGCTCTACCCAAATTCTATAATCAAAGTAAACCTGTAAAAAACATAAAACACAAACCTAATAAATCACTGGAAGCAAGCAGAATCAGGCTGCACGCACCTTTTGCTTCTTCTGTGTTCCTTGAAACCCCAAAAATGTGGCTGCATTTAAAAATGCCAACTTCCAACTAAATCTGAATTACTGGCAAAATGCCTCTCTTGATGATATGACTTTTCTACTGCAGTTAAACAATACAGTCAGGTCACCTCCCCACCTTCAGCTTGCAACTGGAACGTTAAAGCAGAAATTAACTCCTCCCCCATCCTTCATCTTTTATGCTGGGCATAAACACACACACACCTTTCCAGCAAATCCAGCGATGTCCTGCAGTGATCCATTTGTCTGTCTTTGTTTGCATCCCTGACACGATCTCAGTCCTCATCAGCCAGATGCCTCTTCTGGGATCCGGCAGTCTGTCCCCTGATGACATGTTAGCACCGCCCCTGGCCATTGTGCGAATGCGCTCCCACAGATTCCTGGGATATGCGACAGGGGTTCCCTAGGGGGCTGTGAGGGCAGGATATGTTATCGTCGCCCAGGTTTGAATGGTGGCAGGGCAACCAGAAAAACAAAGCAGCTGTCAACAAAAAACGAAAACTGGCTCCCAGGCCAAATCCCAAGATAGTGACACAGAGAATCTGGAACTCTGAGAAGAGTCAGATGTGAGGAACACTGCGCTAGACTGCATGGGCTGTTATGTGTTTCTTAAAAGTCAACAGCTGACTTTTAATCTTCCCAAAGCCGGGTAAGTTCCTCTAAGTCTATAGATGCATTAGAAGTGCCCCCAGGTTCAGGGGTTTCAACACAAGCAATGTCACAGCTTTGCTGCTAATACATGGTGTAACAATCATGCACACAGCAAAAGACGGGGTTCTCCATTTTGCTCCAAACTTCTGCATTTTGGTATTTCTCTTAAATTCCAAATCAGTCTCCCTCCTCCGATTTTCCCGCCTCCCTCAGGAATGCAATCAGTGTATGATGCTGAACCCCTGCCTAACAATCCTTTGCCCAAATAATGCAATTGGGTTCTGTTGTTAGAGACACCCCGTTTTGGGTAGGAAAGAGGCTGTTATGTTTTGTGTGTAGACAGAGAAGTGAGGACCTTCTGCGTTTTAACATCTAGCAGACAGAGAGAAAGGGGAATCTCGCTGTAACAACGAAACTGAGTGCGAGACCAGAAATCCCTTTTGAGCTCATCAGGCTTGAAACTGCTTAACCCCAGGCATCTTTCGGCAAGTACTTATTTACCTAAACTTCTGTTATCTGTGCTCTGTGTGTGTGTAATATGTAATATGTATATATATATATATATATATATATATATATATATATATATATATATATATAATAAATAAATGTGTGTGTTACATCTTTTTTCTGTAAATATTTCTACTGCACCCTTTTGACCTTTCAGTAATAAATCTTACTTTCTGAAAGCGTTGAACTGTTTCTATAGCTCTTTAATGTGACTTACGAATCCCTGCTGCTAAAGAGCGCTACTATGAGTGTTTAACCCACTGTATAACCTGTCTGTGGAGATAGCGGTATACCGACGATTAACCAATCATCCTAGTGTATTGCTGAGTTTCCTCTTTCTCTATTCAAAAAGGAGGTGGTGGCAGTGTGAAGGGTTGATTGCGTAATCAACCAGACCCAGTAACAAACGCTCCCAGGCTGCAGGTAAGTCGATTGTGGTCCAATTAGTTGGAAAATAGGTGTGCAGGGTGCAGCTGGGCGTGGTATTGTTACGCACCTGACATCGTGGTGTTAGATTGGCTAGTCCTTCGGTCACGAGTTTGGCGAGAAGGTCAGGGGTCTGACGCCACGATCGTCACACATGGCTATCACAGAATCTTTCATTTCAGACTTCTCACACAAGTGTGTTACAGTTTATCTTTAATTTATTGAATGTAGCAACCACCCTACTCTGGTGTTACTGTATGTATCAGTATACAAACATACTTCTACTTAATGAGGACAAAGGGGATATTTACCTTCACTGTTCTGCGGTGTCCTGAACCATCCCAGTAACTGAAGGTAATCTCTATCTCTTCACCTGAGCAGAAAATGAGGCAGTGTAAACAACAGAAAAGCTCAGAAATAAAAGCCACCATAATCCCTTCCACAAGCCTGAGATTTTCCCTTACTTTTAATCTTCTCCTGCTTCCGCTCCCACTCTTGTCTCAGCTCTTCTCGAAGACGGTTTTCTTCCTCCTAAAGGGGACAATGACATTTTTTTTTGTCAATTCTTTATTTAGACACTGTGCATTTACAAAGAAGTACTGTCACACCAATATACAAAAAGCGTGAGCAAAAGCTCCGCAAGAAACCACTACTAGCGCAATGGGGCACAACATATCAATAACATTTCAGTAACCAATAACATTAGGCTAGATACAAAACTGTCTACATCAGAAACTGGAATAATGCCAAATATACTGGAAATGTAGGGTAATGAACCCGAAATACATAAAGTCTGAATCAAAACCTTTCATTGTCAAAGGTGGGACAATTACATTTTAAGTCACATAAAGCTAAATGAAAACCACGTGAGACCTTTACCTTTAGCTCCAACTTAACAACGCCTTGGCAGCTATTGATGGGACTTGCCAAAAAAAAGCTCAAGGACTGCAGGCTGTCCCTTCCTTTTCCTAAAGAAAGCCTATGGTGAAGCTAGACCTCCATTTCAGATGCCTTTACCTGAAGTAGCAATTGTCCAATTTACAGTCTGTATACTAGTTGGAAGCAGTAAAGAAAAGCCTATATACATTTATTGCAACTGATCTCACTACCCCACTACTTGATCATCCTGCTGATTAGTGAAACAGCAGCTTCCATCAGTAGGTTCTCGGGTAAGTTTTCACTTTAAATATGGATTTATACATGGAATAACCGCCAAACCAAATTCATATCTGGCCTGACCATTCATGTGGAAATCTATCACGGTTTTCAAATGTAGGACTTTTTGGGCCTAACCCTTAACATGGGATTTACAAAAAAAGAATATAAAATTGCGGTCATATTGGTCCACAGACCCAAATTATCATAGGTTCTCTGCTGCAATGGGCAGGAAAAGCCATAAGGAAATAATGCGCTTTATGTATTTTAGTAATAATACACTCTGCCGTCCTTGGGGTGATCCTGAATATGATCGGCTCTACAAAACTCGGCCCCTCAAACTATTGATTGATGTGAATGGGGGAATCTGTTAGGTTCTTTTTTCCCCCTTCAAGTATGCCCAGCATTAGGAATGTGCAGAAACTCCTAATGCAGGCCATACACGTAATGTTTATAAAGGCCCAAAAATGCAGGTACAGTTCAAACACCCCAAGGTATTTGCTAAAGAGCACGGCGAGTACTTTGCAGATCTCATATGCTGCCACAGGTTTTTGGAAAATGAAGAAAAAAAAAAAAAAAAGAAAATATATATCTTTTTTCATATTTCAAAGCCTTGTGACAAAAAATTATATCTGCAAAATACTCATCATGCCTCTTATCAAATACCTTGGGGTGGTGTCTACTTTCCAATACAGGGTCATTTTGGGGGATATTTGTACTATCCTGGTATTTCAGGGTCTCTGAATCTGTGATAGGTAGTGAGGAAGTGACATAAGGAAATATGCCCTTTAAAAGCCTGAAGGTGATAATTGAATTTTGGGGGCCTGTATGTGGCTAAGCTGCCAAAGTCTCACACATACTCGGGAGAAGTGGCAGAATGTGTTTTGAGGTGTAATTCCACTTATACCCATGCAACGTGTGAGAAATCTTATTAACCACTTCAAGTCCGGACACTTTTACCCTCTTCCTGTCCAGGCCATTTTTAAGCTTTCAGTGCTGTCACACTTTGAATAACAATTGCGCGGTCATGCAACACTGTACTCATATGAATTTTTTTGCATTATTTTTTTTGAGACAGAGTAAACTTTATTTTGGTGGTATTTATTCACCAATGGGATTTTTATTTTTTTTTGCTATATAAATGAAAAAACAAAATTTGAAAATAATGTTTCTTTATAATTCTTGGCCAAAATGCATTCAGTTATCTTTTTAGTAAAAAAAAAAAATAATAACCCAAATTAGTTTATAAACCAAAAATTATACTTTCAAAATTTTTTACATTTTTATATATATATATATTTTTTTTTTTAACATACTGTCATAGTGACACTGTACTACTTGTGGGGGGTTATGAAGATTTTTTTTTTTTTCCTACACAGATTGCTTTTACACCCATAAAGTCTGCAAAAGCAATCATTTCTCTTTCTCTCTGGCTGCATTCTTGCAGCCATTGAGGAATACTATGCGAGCTGTGATTGGTCACAGCCTGTCACATGGTACAAGGGTGTAGTGAATAGCCTTGTACCATGTAATCTCTGTGGTCATTCACAGATTTCACATGTAGTAAGCAATGATGTCAGAAGTGACATCTTGCTTACGACTATTCATGTGATTACTGATTGGCCAATCAGTGATCACATGATCGGGACCTCGCCCAGAGGTCCCGTACAGCAATCGGTACCACTGTGTCCTCAGGACACAGCGGCACAGGATAGCGGTCCTGCGCACTCCCAGGGAGCGCGCACAGGCTAAAATGGCGGACGCTGTTTATGAATGGCAAACCGCCCCTGCACTGCTCCCGTCTGGCCATTTACAGTCATGGCCGAAATTGTTGGCACCCTTGATATTTTTCCTGAAAATCAAGTATTTCACACAAAAAAGGTATTGCATTAACACATGTTTTGCTATACACATGTTTATTCCCTTTGTATGTATTGGAACAAATATAAAACAGAGGCAGAAAAGCAAATATGACATAATGTCACACAAACCCCAAAAATGGGCTGGACAAAAGTATTGGCACCCTTAACTTAATATTTGGTTGCACACCCTTTGGAAAACATAACTGAAATCAGTCGCTTCCTATAACCATCAATAAGCTTCTGACACCTCTCACCCGGAATTTTGGACCACTCTTCCTTTGCAAACAGCTCCAGGTCTCTCTTATTGGAAGGACACCTTTTCCCAACAGCAATTTTAAGATCTCTCCACAGGTGTTCAATGGGATTTAGATCTGGGCTCATTGCTGGCCACTTCAGAACTCTCCAGCGCTTCTTTGCCATCCATTTCTGAGTGCTTTTTGACGTATGTTTGGGGTCATTGTCCTGCTGGAAGACCCAGGATCTTGGACGCAAACCCAGCTTTCTGACACTGGGCCCTACAGTGCGACCCAAAATCCTTTGGTAATCCTCAGATTTCATGATGCCTTGCACACAGTCAAGGCACCCAGTGCCAGAGGCAGCAAAACAACCCCAAAACATCATTGAACCTCCACCATATTTTACCGTAGGTACTGTGTTTTGTTCTTTGTAGGCCTCATTCCGTTTTCGGTAAACAGTAGAATGATGTGCTTTACCGAAAAGCTCTATCTTGGTCTCATCTGTCCACAAGACGTTTTCCCAGAAGGCTTTTGGCTTACTCAAGTACATTTTGGCAAACTGTAGTCTTGCTTTTTTATGTCTCTGTGTCAGCAGTGGGGTCCTCCTGGGTCTCCTGCCATAGCGTTTCATTTCATTTAAATGTCGACGGATAGTTCGCGCTGACACTGATGCTCCCTGAGCCTGCAGGACAGCTTGAATGTCTTTGGAACATGTTTGGGGCTGCTTATCCACCATCCGGACTATTCTGCGTTGCAATCTTTCATCAATTTTCCTCATCCGTCCACGACCAGGGAGATTAGCTACAGTGCCATGGGTTGCAAACTTCTTGATAATGTTGCGCACTGTGGACAAAGGCAAATCTAGTTCTCTGGAGATGGACTTGTAACCTTGAGATTGTTGATATTTTGCCACAATTTTGGTTCTCAGGTCCTCAGACAGTTCTCGTCTCCTCTTTCTGTTGTCCATGCTTAGTGTGGCACAGACAGACACACAATGCAAAGGTTAAGTGAACGTCTCTCCTTTTTATCTGCTTTCAGGTGTGATTTCTATATTGCCCACACCTGTTACTTGCCCCAGGTGAGTTTACAGGAGCATCACATGCTTGTAACATTCTTATTTATCCGCAGTTGTGAAAGGGTGCCAATACTTTTGTCCAGCCCATTTTTGGAGGTTTGTGTGACATTATGTCGAATTTGCTTTCTTTCCTCCCTTTTTTTGTTTTGTCCCAATACACACAAAGGGAATAAACATGTGTATAGCAAAACATGTGTTAATGCAATACGTTTCGTGAGAAATACATGATTTCCTGGAGAAATATCAAGGGTGCCAACAATTTCGGCCATGACTGTATATACATGGGTCGGACAGGAAGTGGTTAAAGGGATAACTGTGTGTAAAAAAAAAAAAAAAAAAAAAATGTTGGGTCATTTTCCAAAAACTTGTGGCAAAAAAAATCAAATCTTCCATGGACTCACTATGCTGCTCAGCAAATTCCTTAGGGTGTCTACTTTCCCAAGAGCTGCTTTAAAGCTGCCTAAATTTCAGCATACAGTTTGGTCCATATATATTTGGACACAGGCACAATTTAAGTTTTTTTTCAGGTATTTACCAAAACATATGCAAGCTATAGTTATATAATGGATATGGGCTGAAAGTGCACACTCTCATGTATTATTTTGAGGGTATGTACATCCAAATTGGAGGAAGGGTTTAGGAATTACAGCTCTTAAGAGTAGCCATCCTGCCTTTTTCAAAGGACCAAAAGTAATTGGACAATTGAATCAAAAGCTGTTTCATGGCCAGGTGTGGGCTACTCCTTCGTTCTTTCTTCATCAATTAAGCAGGTAAATGGTCTGGAGTTGATTCTAAGTGTGGTATTTGCATTTGGAATCTATTGCTGTGAACCTACATCATGCGTTCAAAGCAGCTGTCCGTGCAAGTGGAACAGGCCATTGTAAGGCTTCAAAAATTAAACAAATCCATCAGAGAGATAGCAGCAACATTAGGAGTGGCCAAATCAACAGTTTGGTACATTCTGAGGAAAGAAGAACGCACTAGTGAGCTCAGCAGCATAAAAAGGCATGGACGTCCACGGAAGACAACAGTAGTGGATGATCGCAGGATCCTCTCTATGGTAAAGTAAAACCCATTCACAACATCCAGACAAGAGAAGGACACTCTCCAGGAGGTGGGCGTATTATTGTCAAAGTCTACAATCAAGAGAAGACTTCATAGGAGCAAATACAGAGGGGTCATCACAAGGTACAAACCATTCAT